TCATCCATGTTAGTTAACTGTCCACTTTGTCCCTCCTGTTCCTCTGTGTTCATCCATGTTAGTTAACTGTCCACTTTGTCCCTCCTGTTCCTCTGTGTTCATCCATGTTAGTTAACTGTCCACTTTGTCCCTCCTGTTCCTCTGTGTTCATCCATGTTAGGTAACTGTCCACTTTGTCCCTCCTGTTCCTCTGTGTTCATCCATGTTAGTTAACTGTCCACTTTGCCCCTCCTGTTCCTCTGTGTTCATCCATGTTAGTTAACTGTCCACTTTGTCCCTCCTGTTCCTCTGTGTTCATCCATGTTAGTTAACTGTCCACTTTGTCCCTCCTGTTCCTCTGTGTTCATCCATGTTAGTTAACTGTCCACTTTGTCCCTCCTGTTCCTCTGTGTTCATCCATGTTAGTTAACTGTCCTCTTTGTCCCTCCTGTTCCTCTGTGTTCATCCATGTTAGTTAACTGTCCACTTTGTCCCTCCTGTTCCTCTGTGTTCATCCATGTTAGTTAACTGTCCTCTTTGTCCCCCCTGTTCCTCTGTGTTCATCCATGTAAGTTAACTGTCCACTTTGTCCCTCCTGTTCCTCTGTGTTCATCCATGTTAGTTAACTGTCCACTTTGTCCCTCCTGTTCCTCTGTGTTCATCCATGTTAGTTAACTGTCCACTTTGTCCCCCCTGTTCCTCTATGTTCATCCATGTTAGTTAACTGTCCACTTTGTCCCCCCTGTTTCTCTGTGTTCATCCACGTTAGTTTACTGTCCTCTTTGTCCCTCCTGTTCCTCTGTGTTCATCCACGTTAGTTAACTGTCCTCTTTGTCCCTCCTCAATGTCTCTCTATGTTCCAACATGACTCTCAGGGCGCCGAGGGCACATTAAGTCAGGACTACCTTACTCTGTGGTGTAGTTTTACGACCGACGTTCACTAAGCCAGATTACACAGTGTTTCCCAGTCACTGTCAAGTCCATGTTAACAACGCAACAGTTTTTATAAGGCAAACCTAAAATATTGCATCAAGTAGGCTAGGCCTACCACAGTCCACACCTATTGAAAAGCAGATAAAATTTATGTTATCGCTACAGTTATTTTGCATTACGAAGACTTGATTGTAACCAGTAGAGGCAAGACATACCTATCTGTGTGCGTTTACAACATGGTACATACATTATAGGCGTGTAATACTACTGCTTCAACGCTGAAATGCATGCGGATAAATATGTTTGCATCCCAGATATGATGAATTAATATTTGCGATTCGGTGAGTTTTATTGACGATGTTAGAGGCATCCCATGATGAAGTTTACAAAGCCCTGAACGACTTCACGTGATTTTAGCCCACATTCCTGGCAACTATTTCAGATAGTACACATGTCATTAAAAATGCTGATTGGTAGAGAATTGCTTGCTAAGCCATGTCTAACCGTGTCTGACCAGATGGGTCAGTAAGCCTCTAATACAGTGACCTCTCAGCAAACATGACCAGCTGGTCAACAGGGTCAGGTTTAACTGCAATTAAATTATTCATATGTTAAGAAAGACAATTATATTCAATGATTTTAAGCAGAATTTCAGTTAAAAAATCTTCAGCGATAACTACCACACTTTTAATATTACTAACAACAGGAGTCCTAGTCAGCTAATTCAGCAAAAATGTAGCACAACAAGTTCACAGCACACCTAGTGTATGGTTTATTTATTTGGTTAAAAATCGGTTATGTTGACAAACCCAAAATAAGAATACGTTGAAACCCATTCTCCATGAGTCCACTGGGATGTGTAGCTGACCAAATTCAGGTAGGATCTTGTTGTTCACCTATCTCGGACTGGCTGGGCCTGTCACACACCAGTTTCAATGTCAGACATTGTTTTTACCGATCAACAACAAACACAGGCTGGCCTACAGTGCTACAAGTCCAACACTTGTCAACATTGTCTCACGACTCTCTTGCCCCGGACTCACGTATTACACGGTAGCTTACAAAATAGCAGTACAGAAATGGCAGCATAATGTTTACTGTGTAGATTAGGAACATGCGATACATTTCTACGTGGATATACGCGCATTGTCATCAGTGAAATTCCAAGGCAGTGGTACAGAACACATGTGTGTAAACATGAATGTGTGTAATCACATCCAAATGTATCTCAATGGTTCGAATTAATAGATTATGACTCTCGGATCAAATTTTGGTGGTCTATTTGAATTCCTTTTTTTGACTGAAACATTTCTGACACTTTTTCTGACCACAGTAACCTCAATGACAAGTCAATCTACTGAACCACACAACTGACTTGGGCAGCCAAACAAATGCCCCCTTACCCAAAACGAAACAGCACTACGTTGTACAAAACAACGTAAGCACTACGACTGTCGTAAGTCTATGTTAAGGTATGAGAGTTACGATCACCTTAGCGCTGAAATCGCTTTGTACAACGGTACCCTGACCTTTACCCTATGGTGTAGCCACTTATGGTATACGAACAAGTCTTATTTGGTAAATCGGTTAAAATCAACTTTTGAATTTCTGTACTACTATACTGAAACAGTATGGCACGGTGTCATTATTTTCCACTTCATGGAATCGTGTAATATCTCAGCATTTATTTCCCCAGTCAACATAACCTTACCTGACCGTGAACACCAATGGTGTTCACAGTCGCAATGACAGACAACCAGCCTCACGCCGCTGTCAGTGACATCAATAACGTCTCATTATTTAGGGGTTGGCTCCCTGTTTGTCCGTACTCGCTCTTAGACAGGCGGGGCATGCGCCATGATAATCATTGAGGACTTCCAGACAAGGCTTATACCAGGCCGATACAAACGTGCTGGAAATTGGTAAACACGTCCCCCCAATCCCACCTGTTAAATAAACGTCAGTAAATACGGTAATCGCTAGGCAAACGTCGACCACATTCATTGCCTTCTTTACAACCTGCGTTTGCTTAATCATAGGGCTATAGGCTTACAAACAAAGCATTTTGACGCAAACTTAATATGTGGGTGCAAACTGAGTTGATTTGATTAGGCATTTTCCACACCAGAAAGTCGTATATTTGGCAGCTTCTAGATGCGCTGCCGGGGAGATGGATAGAGCGGGTTTCCTACGCCAACGTTGTGACATTTCCTTCTGATTTCGGCTCACAATACTGTGTAACACATGACGTCAAGGGCAAGCTTGTACTTCTATCTGTTGGCGCTCTCTGTTGGCCGGCTGCGGTTGTATATATAAGGTACATTGTGTTGCAGAGACCCTCAGTCAAATTAGGTCTGAGTTACCGTGCTCGTTACTTCACTTCACTCCAGGCTTTTATATGGTGTATTCATCTCACAGTGTCTATTTAATTTTTAATATATATGCGTTTAAATATGCTGGATAGTTGGAGCATGTCGGGCATCAATTTTCAGGTTGAACTGGCGCGTCAAATATATACCTCATTTTGCATAGTTATTTTGAATTGCTGGAAATATTTAGGATGAAAATGACAGCTGTCGAATTACGTTAAATTGGAGGATTTTTTTCGTTTTATTTTATCTACACATACCATTATAATGCTTTTGCACTCGGGAAACCTCTTCCAAGTCACACGTAATGACGCTCAGTCACCCGAGACAATGTCTAGGTCACTGGGACACACGTGACACGTGATGCACCTTCACGTTATCACCAAGCCAGGCCTATTGCCTAGCTCATCGCAGTAAGTCAACTGAAGCGTTCAAGGCTACCAATGTCATAAACTGTCCGCGGAGCCAATAATCTTTGCGCACCACAGAGCTGATTTCGGGGTATATCTGAAGATATAGCTGAGGTCGTGTAACATTAGATGAGGCTCCTGCATCGAACGTACTATAATTCCAAGAAAGGTGAGCTACAATAGTATTCTGTATATGGATATCTGCAACGTTCCCTCTGTATACAAAGGTAACTTTAACGTTCCCTTGTCTTGCGTCTGTACACAAGATGATTCCAATGCATTTTTTTTACACCGAAAGAAATCTGAGTCCCAATGTCTCACTTTTGTGTACAGGACGACTTCAAGATCCCCATGTCTGACTTTTGTATACAGGATGACTTTTGGATGACCCCATCTGTCTTGTCTGCCTATAATGTTCCCTTGTCTGACTTCTGTATACAGGATGACTTCACGATGACCTCATCGGTCTTGTACGCCATTAATGTTCCCTTGTCTGACTTCTGTATACAGGATGACTTCACGATGACCTCATCTGTCTTGTACGCCTATAATGTTCCCTTGTCTGACTTCTGTATACAGGATGACTTCACGATGACCTCATCTGTCTTCTATGCCTATAATGTTCCCTTGTCTGACTTCTGTATACAGGATGACTTTACGATGACCTCATCTGTCTTCTATGCCTATAATGTTCCCTTGTGTGACTTCTGTATACAGGATGACTTCACGATGACCTCATCTGTCTTGTATGCCTATAAAGTTCCCTTGTCTGACTTCTGTATACAGGATGACTTCACGATGACCTCATCAGTCTTGTATGCCTATAATGTTCCCTTGTGTGACTTCTGTATACAGGATGACTTCACGATGACCTCATCTGTCTTGTATGCCTACAATGTTCCCTTGTCTGACTTCTGTATACAGGATGACTTCACGATGACCTCATCTGCCTTGTATGCCTATAAAGTTCCCTTGTCTGACTTCTGTATACAGGATGACTTCACGATGACCTCATCTGTCTTGTATGCCTATAATGTTCCCTTGTGTGACTTCTGTATACAGGATGACTTCACGATGACCTCATCTGCCTTGTATGCCTATAATGTTCCCTTGTCTGACGTCTGTATACACCTGGCTTTGTCTGACAGTCTTTATACAAGAGTACTTTCGTGAACACATGCGTTACACCAATGTTGCCTTGCTTGGCCTCTGTATAGCCATGTCTGACCTGTGTACAGAAATAACGCAATCACGCAATAGCTTGTCCAACTACTTGCAGTGGTTCTGATGGGATGACTCTTTGTTTCAGGATGGCCTGGTTTGGCGCGTTTAGAAATAGTCACGGCTTCTCCTGGTACGACGACAACCCCTCCGCAGCAACAGTTGACATCCCCCTGGCAGCGGTCACTTACTTCTGTATTCTGGTTTCCGTGGCAACACTGATAGCATCTCTTGGAATCAGAGGCAAAGATGTGAGTATAGCTCAATCATGTTCAAAATGTGTAATTTTATTGCATGTTTTTAATTATTTTTAAATATTTGAATATTTTGATATTGATAAGGCGTACTGCTTTACCCGAAGAGGTTGTGAAGTGGTTGTAGGTTTAATGTTCATTGGGATAAAATATGTCCTTTTTTGCAGAGGTGGATAACAGCACTGCGAGCGATTTACGGGCTGGCTGTTGGTTCTATCATATTGGGTAAGTTGGACATTTTGCTTCAAATTAAGTAGTGACATAGAATAGATTATAAACAACATAAGGCGAATGTCAACGAGGTATGGTTTTAAATAACCTCATTGCACGAAATGACCAACTGCAGAAATACATCATCCATTTGACGCTTTCATGTGATTGTATCTGTTTGAGAAATTCCTTCTGAATCGAAAAATACCATTTGGTAAAGACTCAGAAAGAAATACTAGACGAGAACAGTAACTCCGCGAAAGGTGAAAAAACATGTGGTGAGGTTCAACGGGTTTATTCAAGACGACAGATAAATGCGCCTAAATATTTAACAGACAGATAAACAAGGGTTTACGTTCTTTTGACGGGAGGATTTGTGGCATGGTTTAATGGGCATTTAACGGGTTTTATCAAGAGGAGAGAGTAAATGCGCCTAAATATTGAACCGACAGATACACAAGGTTTTACTTTCTTTTGATAGAGAGATTTGTGGCATGAATAATCGTCCGTTTTATGTAGATAATGATTTGAAGAGATCAATACATTAACTTCAGATTTTGTTGGCGTAGAATCATAAAAGTGTCAATCTGCATAGACTCAAAGCAGAAACGTGTAGATGAAGACTCTGGTGACTTTTGTACTGAAGCATCGGTTACAAATATTGTTACAAACATGCCGGGAAAGAAACAGGTCAATAACTTCAGGACAACGCCATAATTACCGAATAAGTATGGGAAATTGTGAGTTCGTGTTATTTCTAATTTCTTTCGAATACCTATCACAGTGATGCAACTGCTTTTATAGGGTTTGAGATGATAATTTTATTACAATATTACAAGCAATGGCAGGAATTAAGTCTGACACTTAATATCGGACACAAGTCGGTACTTTGAGTCGTGTTCAACAGGTAGCTAACGGCATCACGCCTCCCAGTGATTTTAACACATAAACCCGTCAAGCAGCCTTAGTCACGAGTGACATTTGACCTCCACGTGCAGAAATGATGTCGTCTGGCACGGTCTTGTTCAGCCATTTTGAATGACAGCTATAGGAAGTTGCTTCTGATTTGAATCACGTTTTCACAGACAGTGGGTTCTTTCATTTCGAAAAGATTGACACAAACCTTTAAAAACATTACTCATCAATTGCATTGTTAGTGGAACATCTGCGAATGTTTCTGTAAACTGGAGAATTATGTAAAAAACATGTCAAAAACATATGCATAATATTTTGTTTTCATGATATGGTTTGTAAATTCAAATGACATTTCGTTTACTGTATGAATATAAGCCACATTTTAGCATTACCGCTGGGCGCTTACTCAGATATTGGATGAAATGTAGTCTTAGCTGTGTGTAAAGACTTTTAAAATGATATTCTATTAACATATTTATTAACGTCGCTATATAAGTTCCATCATCTTTGACGCGACGTTGAACCTTATCCCTTAGCATATTTTCTACAATGTCCAAACTATTAATCGTGCAGTCATATTCAATAAATATCAATTAATTCTCAAAATAGGTTTTATCTTTTCACGATAACTATTTTTTGTCATTTCGAAACTCGTCATGAATGTCTTTGTTTCACGGCGATGATGGATGAGTTTGACGTAATCGTTTGTTTTACAAAGGTCTTGAACTTCACAAACATTGTTTTATGTGTTATATCAGTAGGAATATAATTGAGATCCCGTCTTGTCATCACTCTCCATCACACCTGTCAAGGGGTGGTTGCAGTTCACGAGACATCCCGTCACGCCATTATCCTTCAGTTATAGCTACTCCGAGAAACTGATTTATAATTGAGTCAACCGAAACGTATCATGATATTCTGTGCGTACAACGAAATTTTCTGTCGTATGCCCTAAATAATTATACCATAACAAACCGTATTTTTTACGTACATTCTAAACTGCCGTGCAAAAGAAAAAATACACCTATGTTTGCTGGTGGCTAAAAATGAAACACACTTGAAATGGTTATGCGATAGTGGTGTACTTGATACGAATATCATAGTTGTGTTTTGGACCTTAATTTTGCAGTGTTTTCGGCGACTGTTTTCAGCCGAGTAACGTTTGAAATTCTTTTGTCAAATCCATTTTTTAAGTGTATACCTTCTTCTCCCAGCAGCTGTAAGTAATTAGTTTCTTAAAAATTACCGATGTGATGAAAATAAATAAATAATCAACATAATTGGGTTGTTAATATGTCACCTAAAATAGGCTCGACATGAACGTTTCAGGTCGGGATTGCTGTATCTTACTAACACCACAGTATTTTTTGTTTCTGATCGCGCGGACTTATCCCAGCACTGCCTGGGGCGGAAGGAATTAGGAAAGTTATGCATTTCTTACTCGAGAAATATTTTGATGATGTGCCGGCTTATATTTTGTCACCATGCATGTACAGATAAAAGACTTGTTGCAAAGATTAACTGAGAAATGCTGAATAAACATTATTATTCATAAAAAGGTAAACATTTTATATTGTAAGGGGCCTGGGATTATATGAAAGATATTTCAGGAAAATCTTGAAATAAAATTTGCCTCTTTCTGGAATAAAGATAAAATGATAAAAAATATATTATTCTGTTAAAAATGAATATCTTGTTTTTGACGAATCCACTGAATGATGCCATGCATCATTTGTCTCGAACCACTCAGATGTTTCCAAACAAATATTAATAGAATTATGATTAACATAATCTTATTAATGAGTGAGTTGGGTTTAACGCCGCTTTTAACAGTATTCCACTCATATCGCGGCGTGTCAGCTAAATGTGGGAGGAAAGCCCGAAGTGATGCAGGTTTCAGACGTTTACCACTTCGGTGAAACCCACGAGCACGGGTATGGTGCTGACAAACCTAGAAACATAATCGGGGCGAACCGGGATTCGAACCCACAATCATAGGTTTCTGGCGTGCCCAAGGGACACAACTCTGCACAGCGCATAATCTTCTTAACGTGTAATTATCCATACGTAAGCAATCGAGTACACATTTACACATTTGGACAAGGTACACACATAAAATGTGATTGAAGTAGTTTTATGATATATCAATGTGTATGTATATATGGCATGATGTTCTTCTCTCTAGTGGGCGTCTACAGTCACAGCTGGCAGACGGGGACGTTAGAAGTGACCACGCCCTACGTTTATCGGTCGCCCCAGCAGTTCCGGGGGCTGGTGGGTGTCCACGTTGCTCTCCACGGGGCCAATGTTACTCTGATAGGTAAGACTGATATTTGGTAATGTTTCTGTGTTTCTGTGACATTGTCTCTATGATAGCGCTCTGTGGTATCTTTTCTGTGATAGCGTTTCTGTGATAGTGTTTCTGTGATATTGTTTCTGTGAAAGCGTCTCTGTGACAGTGTTTCTGTGACAGTGTTTCTGTAACAGTGTTTCTGTGATTTTGTCTCGATGAAGGTATCTCTGTGGCAAAAGTTCTTCACTTAACACCAAATACTGATTTCATGATTTTATTTTGTAATTATATTCAGCTTCCGATTATAATATTCCTTACATGACGTCAGAAAACTTCATTTGTGGTTATGTTGTTTCTAGGTCAGTTCGGAAGTTCCCCCAACAGTGGTTACGTGGCCTACTCCGAGAGCCTCCCGTGGAGTGATTGTAAGTACCCCACATCCTGCCCTGTCCACATCACAGTAGCGGATAACGAATACAATAGATTGACATCCAACTGTTTCTGTCCATATTTTAGGAACAAAACAATTTCATTCACTTTTCTGCTATACGTTTCCTCTTCGGAATTCTGCTCCCTAAAAGGTCACCGCAGTGGTACAACATATACACTATAAGGTGGTCTGTCAGTATCCCAGCGTGACCGATGGAGTGGACACTCCATGGCCATTGACCACTTCCTGCAGTGGACGGATCTACATCCTAGTCCCAGCTTGGTGCGTCATTTGACTAACTAGGCAGAACTGAATGTCAGTAACGAATAGAGATCTATATCGCCAAGATAGCAAATTAATTTGTAATGTAAGCTTTTATGGCCATTGATGACGAGTATGTGATTTTAATGTAAGTACTGTTCCCAGGTGGACAAACACACATGTCATTCATATACATACAACAGCAACATACATAATTTATCCACATATATACCACAGAAACATGCATCATGCATCATAAAAATATAATAGAAACATACCAGTTCGAATTACCATAAAGTATAACGAGAGCGTATTCAAAACAAGTAACAAATACTAAACACTAAATTGTAGAAAAATGATGTACGTGGTAAGTCGTATGCTTAATAGTTCGCCAAATTCATAGAAATATGAAACCGATTATGTCCAACGATAATAGAACAATAACAAGACTACGTCAGCTGAAGCCATATACTCGGACTTCATAAAGCAAAATTAGTTTTGTAACATCATTAAGGTCAAGAAAATGATCCATAAAATGTGTTAATGGGCTGCCTCTATACCTCTACTACCATGTCAGGATGTACGCCAGTAACTCCCAACGAGGTTAATGTACCCAATTCATGGTCAATGTCACCCACTTTTGACAGTTATAGGGACATGTATTGAGAAATATATCAGCACAAACACGAATCGGTGATGGATGAACGAGCCATGTTCATTCATATCAATCATAGGGTCTAGGACTACGTTACCGATTAAGACATCAGTTAGGTTCGTTATCGCCGTCGTCCCGTTTGTATTCCATTTACGAGCACGGTGATAGCTGTTATTTTTTATACATAATTATTGATACCGGGTCTCTTGTTGCATATCCATAGTACACGATATTGATACGATGTTAGTGTGTTAATGAAGAGATTAATGTAGGACTATTTGTGTTGCTGGGCTCCGCGTGGATCATGGTGTGATATAGGTTCAACGATGTAACGCTTGTAACGGAAATACATGTGAATATAATGAAAATATTGACAGTGGAATATAACGCGACTACAATCATGACAATATGTTGGGGCATAGAGGGTAGTGCCTTGCCAACTGTCTGTAATGTTGGAATGTTCCCTTGCCAACTGTCTGTAATGTTGGAATGTTCCCTTGCCAACTGTCTGTAATGTTGGAATGGTCTGGCTGTAATGTTGGAATGTTCCCTTGCTAACTGTCTGTAATGTTGGAATGTTCCCTTGCTAACTGTCTGTAATGTTGGAATGGTCCCTTGCTAACTGTCTGTAATGTTGGAATGTTTCCTTGCTAACTGTCTGTAATGTTGGAATGGTCCCTTGCTAACTGTCTGTAATGTTGGAATGTTTCCTTGCTAACCGTCTGTAATGTTGGAATGGTCCCTTGCTAACTGTCTGTAATGTTGGAATGGTCCCTTGCTAACTGTCTGTAGTGTTGGAATGTTCCCTTGCTAACTGTCTGTAATATTGGAATGTTCCCTTGCCAACTGTCTGTAAAGTTGGAATGGTCCCTTGCTAACTGTCTGTAATGTTGGAATGGTCCCTTGCCAACTGTCTGTAATGTTGGAATGGTCCCTTGCCAACTGTCTGTAATGTTGGAATGGTCCCTTGCCAACTGTCTGTAATGTTGGAATGGTCTGTCTGAAATGTTGGAATGGTCCCTTTTTTAGTTGGTCATGAATCCGACGCCTTCGATGACTTTGTGGGGCGTGGTCTCCCTGACCCAATCCTGAGGGTGGTGGAACACTTCTGTGCTGACGCCGGGGGTCTGCGGTGGGGGAAGGCGTTCCATACAGCCGGCGACTTCGCATGTGCCCTGCTCTGGTAAGTTATGCAGACACGGGAGCAAGTGAGTGTGGGAGTAAGCTGGGTTTAACGCCGCTGTTAGCAGTATTGGCCATTTCAAGAAAAATATATACAGCAAAGATACAAACAAAATGTCACTGTAACTACAAATAACTATAAAACACGGGCATGACGGCCAGTGTTTGTGTGCCAAGAGATAGGACCTAGCCAGTCTGGTTTCTAAGAGGTTGCACCAACACGTCTTTTGTTATAATTGAGACAAAAAAATTACCAATCGAGGTGTTATTCACAATCTCTTTAAGTTAATGAGACCGTGTCACCAAATGTACTAACCCTCGGGCTACCGACAATAAAACATAATGGTATTTCTAAAGAACCGCTTAATATATCCATTGGCAGTCATATGAAAATAAGTTTAAGGGCCTATGGTTAATGTTCTCGCATTTGCAGTTGAGCGATCACAGGCAATGTATGTCAGGGCGTATGTCCGTGACCATATGACCTCAAATGGGACAATGGCTTCACGGTCGCCGCAGCATATTTTCTGACGTGTTTTTTCTTCAAACTTCATATCATGTCATTCTGAAATGAAGTGTGAAACTCAGAAATTATACTCCCAAAATATTTGTTAATATTTGCTATTACTTTTCAAACGTCACTATATTTGTTTGCATTTTTTATTATCCGTGATTTGAGTATTTGTGTTTTTGGGCTATAAGTCATATATTATATTTTGTGTGTGGCCATGTCGTCTAATGCGTCGCAATTGGAACGGCATCCTTATCTGTCATAGGTTCAAATCCCTGTTCGCCCTGAGTATGTTTCTAGGTCTATCTGCACCAAAGCCGTGCCTCGGTTTCAACAAAGTGGTAAACGTCTAAAACCCAAAACACTTCCGTTTCCCTCCAACATCTAGCTGAAACTCACTCACTCACTCCTGCGACCCCGAAACATCAAGAAGAGAATGCCCTGATTCTAAATCCGCAAACATTTATGAATACTTTGTCAAATCAAGAAATAAAAGAATATAGAAAGAATAGATAGGAGAATAAATACAGTTAAGCAATGCTGGCATTTAATTTGAAAGTCCGGGAGAGATTGATTAAAATTATGTAAATTTAGAACGTCCAAGCTGGAGAATAATCAATCTTAACAGATTCTGGTGAAAACTGGTGAAACTTATATGAAAATAGATCACTGAAAAGCAGTGATGACAACAGCTGTTAACGAAAGATATAACTCAACTAATACGTAGAATTTAATTAGTTATCTAGATGGAGTGTTTCATCGCTTTCATCTTATTTCTTTTCACAGGACAGCTTTCGCATTTTGGATCGTGACCAATATACTGCTGTTCAGTGTCATCTGCTACGGGGGCTACATGTTCGTCCTGACGGGGTTCACAATGTCCTTGACCTGTGTGGTGTACCATGTCTGCCAACCCAGCAACTCGCTCGTTATATCGTATGGCGAGCACATCCTCAGAACACACTATGACTGGTCGTTCTGGCTCATCCTTGTTACAGGTGAGAACACAATATAGAGCGCTGCTGTCCTTGATAGAGGAAGAGGTGCAAAAGAAACCATTTGTGTCTGTATCGGTTAGCACCATCGATGGCCCGATATTTGGGTAAAGAAATTTGTCAAGCGTATTTTATGAACTTATTGGAGTAATTCTTTAAGTAGACAAGCAGCTTGTGGAGAAATTGGATTACTCGTTTAATTTGGAAATATACAACTCAAAATAAGTTCAGGATCACCCAATTCTTTCATTGTACTATATTTGCCATTTCATGTCATGACATATTAACCAAAGTAATATGAAAGAATCGTTTGAGTAGTATATACACCATGTCATCACATTCTGGTCATAATTTTCGAAATCCACCTAGAGGCAGGGTTTGGGACAGGGGTACTATTCACCTCAGCATCTGATCCTTCAATGTACCACATTCTCTGTTTTAGGACTAGTCACCTTCGTCCTTGGTCTCCTGATTGTGTTCTTGGACCATATCTTCCCAAAGAAGATGGCGGAGGTGATGGGCGTCGATGCTGGTATTGAGGACGACAGGGGAGAATTTGGAGCCTTCGCTTCTCTCAGGGTGAGATCACGTCCTAGTAACCAGCTCGCCATATGACTCTTAAATGCAGAAAACTAAAAAAACAAAACGTTCCGTGTAAGAGAAATGTATTTGCATGATGGAGAGAGAGAGAGAGAGAGAGAGAGAGAGAGAGAGAGAGAGAGAGAGAGAGAGAGAGAGGGTCCGGGTTTAAATAGGTCTTCAGCATCCCATGCTTGCCGTAAAAGCCGACTATGCTTGTCGTAAGATGCGACTAACGGGATCGGGTGGTCAGGCTCGCTGACTTTGTTGTTGCATGTCATCGTATCCCATGTTAAACAACAAACAAACTAAACTAACTGACGTGTTTATGATCGTTGCAGGATCGAAAAGAAAGTATCTTCTTCACACAAGATAGGAGGGGGAGCATATTCCAGGACCGAGAAAGACGCAGTAGTATGTACCCCGGGGCGGAAAGGAGGACAAGCGTGTTTGGGGATCAGCAGAGAAGAGGCAGTTTCCGTGGCATGGCATGGTATTCCAACAAGGGTTTTACTTCAGCTGATGAAAAGACCAGAGTGAACCCCCTTTTTACAGGGCGGAACAGCATTACAGAAGAGGATGAAAGTTTACCTGCTAAAACCCAAACAGAAGTCCAAATAAACATTGAAGATGAAGAGGGTAATATAACTTCCGGTGTGGACCGGAAGTCCTCATGTTCGTCTGCTAAGGAGGACAGGGATAATGACCTAAATGAGAAGCAGGCTTCATCTAGTGTTACACTAGAGATTGGACAGTTGAGCCGCCAGTTGTCGCACGACTCGGGGAATGAAAGCGGCTGTGTTCAGACTCGTGACTTTGACAGTACATCATCCAGTGATGCTGGTGCTGAATGCAGTCAGTCCCTAGACTCCAACACAAGCTGAACATCGGTGGACATTCCGATTGCAAACCATTGTCTTCCTTCTTGCTATGGCTCAAACCCTATAATTTTTTAACTAAAATATTAAATGAGTACATATTTTAGAAAGTGTAACGTCTCACAGAATCCTATCAATCAAAATTGCTTCAAGAGATTCGCTCATGACCTGACATACATGTTCGAATCATTGAGTACACGCTTGGAGTTTCAGGACGGTATGAGGAGTTTTGGTTTTGCAATCTGTCCACCAGTGTCCATTCATCAGTGACGTTATGTAGAGGTCAAGGTCTCCGCTTTTCTACCGCATGTATTTCTGTCTTCCTGCTTACAATGACACCAGGATGCATTCCGCCATGCCAGACATTTCCTGTTGCCATGACAACGGTTTAACTCAGGCGTCATCCAGGACCATGACAACTGACGTAACCACGCCATCCTCGCCATTTTGTCTGACGTTGATCATCAGCTCATACCCCCTTGTCTTTCATACCTGCATAATCCGAAACAGACTACTGATTGTGTTTCAATCTCTTTATATACTAGACTGTTGCAGCGAGTGTATAATGACTCACGTGTAGCACAAACATGACACGTGGGAACTACTGCATGCCAAGCCGTCTCCCATGATCTCGTCAGGCGACCAGTAGTGTTCCTCGTCATGTAAATATGTGGTTTAGTTTCTCGTGATTTCCACATTTATATCAGAGAACAATATTATATTTAGTCCCCAATGGTAAGATGTTATGTATTATGCCTTGAAGGAGATTATTTCCTTTGGAAACTTGTCAGTATAAACAACGAAAAAACCATTAAATTTGGAGTTGACTTTTTGATGATTAAAACTAGGATATAACCTTCATGTGAACGTATGCTATTAATTGTGTAGCTGTAGAATAGAGTATGTTATATATCCAGCAGATCATGGTGGGTGCTATGTGTGGGATTTAACAACAGATTGACTTAAGATGATATGAAATGAAATGCAATCATATTTCTGGTAAAACTTTATAAAAAAACGTGTTTTTAAGAATATCATATGTCAATATCACTATCACATCATTGGTATACTATGGTGTAATATAATTAACAATTCGGTAGTTTTTTTATGGAAGAATATATATCAATCAACAGTCGAATCCTTGTCAAATCTGGTTATATTGAAGAATACCCCCGCTCTCTCTGAGCCCTTGAATACCAGTGTCAAGTCTTGAAATAAGAACAAAGAGAGTGATGCAATAAATATCCACAAACTATTATCTCAAACGGTTTTCACGTCAACTAGTTTATATAAAATGAATTTCGTTTTTGCACATTATTTCGATTCTTGTTTAATTATGAAAAAATACAAGATCTTATTTTTTAACAGTGTTTTGTCAGTTTGCGTGTGACTGTACAAACAGGTACAGATCTAATCTTGTGCGTTCGTCTCACACCTGGGATTTCTTGTAACTTTGGTAGCGGAATCGAATGTAGCTGACGTGATACTGCCCCTCCCCCTCCCCCTCCCCCTCCCACCACATGGGCAAGGTATGCTGACCCTCAATCACCTGATACCGCCATCCGTGGCTCGTGAGATGTTGGACACCATAAGCATTAATCCACTTTAAAAGATATATACTACTCCAAAATAGTGACTGATCACCCTGTTGTGTCATATTACCACAGTTCATATGCCATGACACGACAGCTTAACCTTATTGAAATGAAAGAAGCAGGTGATCCTTTATTTTTTAGTAGTATAGGTAATGTGTTTGATTAGAAGTCGATTGTATATTTTACATATCTAATATTTGTTGTTTCGTGTACAGACTATGTTGATACCAATTTAGAAGTGACGTTTGTGAAGTACAGTATCTGTACGTATGTACAGTAAATGTGTGTGATCAATATAGGTACGTGTCTGCAGTAGGTGTACGAACAGTATATGTGCAGTCTTGTTTGACAATTTATGTTCCGTGTCAAGAGATTATTGTACAAATATAACACTGTTAAACTTATTTTTGAATTAAAAACTATTTGAAATGTTGAAGTTTGTAATGTTGTCATGTTTTACCAATGCATGAATTAAACGCTTGCGTTGCTAGGGAAGTGTTTAAATCCACACAAAGATTCAGCTCAATGATCCTTGTTTTTTCAGTACCATGCCCATGTCTGAAGGGCCCTGCCCTTTGTATGATGTCTGCAGCCTGTGTCTCTGTGGGCTTTCCTTAAGTCGACACCTGGGTATTCCTCCCATGTTAAGTCGACACTCTGGTATTCCTCCCATGTTAAGTCGACACTTGGGTATTCCTCCCATGTTAAGTCGACACTCGGGTATTCCTCCCATGTTAAGTCGACACCTGGGTATCCCTCCCATGTTAAGTCAACGCTCGGGTATTCCTCCCATGTTAAGTCAACAAGCGGGTATTCCTCCCATGTTATGTCGACACTTGGGTATTCCTCCAATGTTAAGTAGGCGTTAGGATATTCCTTCCATGTTAAGTCGACACTTGGGTATTCCTCCCAGGTTAAGTCGACAAGCGGGTATTCCTCCCATGTTAAGTCAACAAGCGGGTATTCCTCCCATGTTATGTCGACACTTGGGTATTCCTCCAATGTTAAGTAGGCGTTAGGATATTCCTTCCATGTTAAGTCGACACTTGGGTATTCCTCCCAGGTTAAGTCGACAAGCGGGTATTCCTCCCATGTTAAGTCGACACTTGGGTACTCCTCCCATGTTAAGTCGACACTTGGATATTCCTCCCATGTTAAGTCTACACTCGGGTATTCATCCCATGTTAAGTCGACACTCGGGTATCCCTCCCATGTTAAGTCGACACTCGGGTATTCCTCCCATGTTAAGTCGACACTCGGGTATTCCTCCCATGTTAAGTCGACACTCGGGTATTCCTCCCATGTTAAGTCGACACTTGGGTATTCCTCCCATGTTAAGTCGACACTTGGGTATTCCTCCCATGTTAAGTCAACACTCTCGTATTCCTCCCATGTTAAGTAGACGCTCGGGTATTCCTCCCCATGTTAAGTCGACACTCTCGTATTCCTCCCATGTTAAGTCAACACTCGGGTATCCCTCCCATGTTAAGTCGACACCTGGGTATCCCTCCCATGTTAAGTCGACACTCGGGTATCCCTCCCATGTTAAGTCGACACTAGGGTATCCCTCCCATGTTAAGTCGACACTCTGGTATTCTCCCATGTTAAGTCAACACTCGGGTATCCCTCCCATGTTAAGTCGACACTTGGGTATTCCTCCCATGTTAAGTCGACACTCGGGTAATCATCCCATGTTAAGTCGACACTTGGGTATTCCTCCCATGTTAAGTCAACACTCGGGTATCCCTCCCATGTTAAGTCGACACTCGGGTATTCCTCCCATGTTAAGTCGACAAGCGGGTATTCCTCCCATGTTATGTCGACACCTGGGTATTCCTCCCATGTTAAGTAGACGTTAGGATATTCCTTCCATGTTAAGTCGACACTCGGGTATTCCTCCCATGTTAAGTAGACGTTAGGATATTCCTTCCATGTTAAGTCGACACTTGGGTATTCCTCCCATGTTAAGTCGACAAGCGGGTATTCCTCCCATGTTAAGTCGACACTTGGGTACTCCTCCCATGTTAAGTCTACACTCGGGTATTCCTCCCATGTTAAGTCGACACTCGGGTATTCCTCCCATGTTAAGTCGACACTCCTCGGGTATTCCCCCCATGTCAAGTAGACGCTCGGATATTACTCCCATGTTAAGTCAACAAGCGGGTATTCCTCCCATGTTAAGTCGACACTAGGGTATTCCTCCCATGTTAAGTAGACGTTAGGATATTCCTTCCATGTTAAGTCGACACTTGGGTATTCCTCCCATGTTAAGTCGACAAGCGGATATTCCTCCCATGTTAAGTCGACACTTGGGTAATCCTCCCATGTCAAGTAGACGCTGGAATATTCCTCAAATGTTAAGTCGACCCTCTCGTATTCCTCCCATGTTAAGTAGACACTCTCGTATTCCTCCCATGTTAAGTAGACACTCTCGTATTCCTCCCATGTTAAATCGACCCTCTCGTATTCCTCCCATGTTAAGTAGACACTCTCGTATTCCTCCCATGTTAAGTAGACACTCTCATATTCCTCCCATGTTAAGTAGACGCTCCTCGTGTATTCCCAACATGTCAAGTAGACACTCGGGTATTCCTCCCATGTTAAGTTGACACTCTGGTATTCTTCCCATGTTAAGTTGACACTCTGGTATTCCTCAAATGTTAAGTCGACACTCCGGTATTCCCCCATGTTAAGTTGACGCTCTGATATTCTTCCCATGTTAAGTAGACACTCCTCGGATATTCCTTCCGTGTTAAGTTGACACTCAGGTATTCTTCTCACTTCCCGTCGACACTGGGGTGTTCCTCCCATTTGTGTCGACACTCGGGTGTCCCTCCCATTTGTGTCGACACTCGGGTGTTCCTCTCATTTGTGTCGACACTCGGGTGTCCCTCCCATTTGTGTCGACACTCGGGTGTTCCTCCAACGTTAAATGAGCACCGGGGTATTCATCCCATGTCCCCAAAATAATATAGATCCGTGAAGATTCAGTTGGTTAATGCAATATGACGCATAATAACTTCTTTTTCTTCTTCTTCTTATTTACAGATGAAAATAACTAAATGTAGCAAAGAGGGTTTGGGTGATCATGGCACAGTCAGGCTGGTTAGGCTCATCATCAGCTAAGGGCCCTTGCCCTCTCTACACGCAGCCCAGACAGCGAGTGGGACTTCTCCCAGGACGTGCTGCCTAGTCAAACCCACACAGAATTTTTCCGAGAATCATCAGACAAATAAATGTGTGCAAAAGTGCACAGAACACTTCTATTATGAAGAGCCTCCACGTTAATCAAACCACGCCCTCCCATTATGATTGGTAAATATAAGCGATTAAGGGAATAGCGAGGGTTATTATGATTATGATTATGATTATTATTAAACTGTTCAAAATAGTCAGCATTCAGATGAGCATAAGCAAAGATAAATATCAAGGTGGAAATAATTTCTTCAAGCACTATCCTATATTAAAAGTCGAGAGTCACTTTTCTGTGAAATGGCATGACACATAAGACAACAGCTACATCTCAACATCGGGGTGTACAAGTGTACAAGTGTACAAGTGTGTATTAGGGGACACCTGGGTAATCTCCTACTCATTTTCTTATTATTTTAGACCGCCTCCGTGATCTAGTGGTAGAGCGTCCGCCCGGAGAGCGGAAGGTCTGGGGCTCGATCCCCGGCCGCGTCATACCAAAATACGTTAAAAGTTGGTACTTGTTGTTACCCTGTCTGGCGCTCGGCATTAAGGGGCTAAAGCAAGGACTGGTCGGCTCGGAGTCAGTATACTGTGTCTGAGTGGGGTATTCATGTTAAACTGCGGCATGGTATCTCAGTGGGCTGGCACTATACAGGGATAGAACAAGGACTGGTCAGCTCGGAGTCAGTATACTGTGTCTGAGTGGGGTATTCATGTTAAACTGCGGCATGGTATCTCAGTGGGCTAGCACTATTAATCGGCATCAGTCCGGACTAGTACAAGCAGCCACACAAACACACACACGTGCATGCACGTCGCTATATAAGTGCAATAATCTTGGACGCGACGTTAAACCCAATTTCACCTCACCTCACCTTATTATTTAAATGGATGTCTGACTTGTTTCATATTATGTGACAGGATCACAGGTATGAATGCCCCAGGGCACAGCGCCTTCCACGTATCAATGTGGGCCTCCTTTGATGAAATAAGAAAAGGGCTTACATCAACAGTTTACTATATTTTAAACCTAACCACTCCCAAAAGCTTATTCAATCTAATATCCTGGATAGTATTGTTTGAATACAATCTACATGTACTTGCTGACGTTCGTCTATTTAATGGATTTTATAAAACCTGCAGCCTATCACAATTTTTAACACTTTTAATACTGATAATAATATTTGTTGTTCCACATTGGTTGAAGTTGTGTTTTTATGTTCTACTTGTGCGGGTTGTGTGTAAATTTCATAGAAAACGTTTGAAAGATGTTTTCTTAAGTTGAAGTGGATATTTGACTAAATGGCCAAAGCGTTTAGTCTACTTAATATGAATAATATTCTATGGCAGGTGAATGATATTTGATTGCTGTCTACAGGGCCCCAGGGTTCTAGTTTAATCCACTTGGAAGAGTTATGTGTTTGATTCTCCAATTAACGTTACTAGGTAGTTTACCTTCGTGGCTCATATCTACTCTAATTATATACTTAAGTGTGGAAGGCTGAATTTTCCCAAGCTGAGAAAAGTGATATTTTCTTTGCAGTGAACATAACAATTGATATTCCACTGCAAAGAACATAACACATGGTATTTCACTGCAGTGAATATAACACTTGGTATTTCACTGCTGTTAACATAACACTTGGTATTTCACTGCTGTTAACATAAACCTTGGTATTTCACTGCTGTTAACAAAACACTTGGTAATTCACTGCAGTGAATATAACACTTGGTATTTCACTGCAGTGGATATAACACTTGGTATTTCACTGCAGTGGATATAACACTTGGTATTTCACTGCTGTTAACATAACACTTGGTATTTCACCGCTGTTAACATAACACTTGGTATTTCACTGCAGTGAATATAACACTTGGTATTTCATTGCTGTTAACATAACACTTGGTATTTCACTGCAGTGAATATAACACTTGGTATTTCACTGCTGTTAACATAACACTTGGTATTTCACTGCAGTGAATATAACACTTGGTATTTCACTGCAGTGAATATAACACTTGGTATTTCACTGCTGTTAACATAACACTTGGTATTTCACTGCTGTTAACATAAACCTTGGTATTTCACTGCTGTTAACATAACACTTGGTATTTCACTGCAGTGAATATAACACTTGGTATTTCACTGCTGTTAACATAACACTTGGTATTTCACTGCTGTTAACATAAACCTTGGTATTTCACTGCTGTTAACATAACACTTGGTATTTCACTGCA